GCACATTTGCATCGGTTAGGCTGTCAGAATGACGGCCTTCGGCCAGAGAAATGTCCTTTTGACCTGAATTATTTGTCCGTTCTTGATTTGTAGGCGTGTTTCGCCGCTGCTTCTTCGCTTTTCCAGCTCCGTCATCAGCTCTCGCATTTTCATTCGCTCTTTTGGCTCGTAATCCGGCTGAAAAAAACTTCAGGATGCTTCAGAATTCTATAGAGCAATTTTGTGACGAAAATAACATCTTTCAGGTTTTTCAACATGGCCTCCGGAGAGGACGTTCCTGCCTCTCAAATCTGTTAGCTTATCTGGAGATCTGGACCAGAGCTTTAGAAGAGGGTTTTGAGGTGGATATCGTGCACATCGATTTCCGCAGAACATTCGACACTGTTCCCCACCAGCGCCTTCTTCACAAATTGAGCGCCATCGGCATCCAGGGAGATCTTCTGAACTGGATGAGGGCGTTTTTGGTTGGTCGGAAACAACCCGTCTGTATGGAAGATGATATGTCAGAGTGGTTGAACGTCACTATCGGTGGGCTTCAAGGCTCACTTCTAGGTACGTTGCTCTCCATTCTGTATGGTAGCCTTCAGGATCTCGAGTGCGGTAAAATAATGTTTGCCGATGATGTTAAGCTCTGGCAAGTCGTTTAGAGTCCAAATAACCAGAGAGCCCCTCAAAACTCTTTGCATTGAGTAGTGACTTCAGGATTTTAATGTGCAGAAGTGTGCCGTCCTTCATCTGCGTCTAACCAACTATCATTCAACTGAGAGCCTGAGGACATATCACCCGAAAGATATTAGACTACCCTCCGAATCTTCACAGAAGGATCTCGGTGTTTGGATACAGAGCGACATGAAACCAGCACTGCAGTGCCAAAAGGCTGCAAAAAACGCTATGGGAGTGTTGCATGCAAACAAATGTGCGTTCTTAACCTTTGACAAAGACCTTTTTGGAAGCGGTTACGGCACATTTGTTCGGCCCCATTTAGAATATGGTATACAAGCGTGACGGTCATGGCTTGTAAAGGACCAAGCATGCCTTAAAAGAGTCTAACGTCGTGCATCGAAGATGGTGAACGGTTTAAAAAATCATCATACACAGAATGACTGAATTGCCCTAATTTATTCCCTATGTGTTACAGGCAGCAAAGAGGCGCTATAATAAACCTATTCTATCCTATTCTTTATCATCGTCTACATAATAACACATTCCCTTAAGCATTGAATGCGCTTTGAGGACATGCCTCAGTGGCACCTTTCACCCCATCTTCGTGATCAATCGATGAAGCGACGGACAAAAATGTCCAGGCTGAATCTTCTTTCTGAATTTTTCACACAAAGCGTAGTGTAGAAGTGGAACTATCTCCCTCAGTCAGTCGTGCAGGCGACGTCCCTGCAATTCGTCGAGAAGCACTTGGATGATAATTTGTGTCCCCTGTTTTCCCTGCTGTTGGGAGTGCCTACACTCCCAAAAACAAGAGCAAACCAATCAATGGAGATCACGTGCATTTGCTCTCTCTCTACCGCGCTGTCATCTCAATGAGGCGCTTTCCCATTGGCTACTCCCCTCTTCCCGAAGGTCATTGGACCGAGTGCCGGCGAACCACGCTAGCGTGTGATAAATATGCGTCACCCTTAGCTAGACGTGACTTGCTAATACGTGTTTGCTAATACACGTTCCGTGGCCAGCCGTGTGTTCTTTGTCTGCTGCCTTGATATTGGGGACCAGGGTCGAGTGCGTATACGCTCCACGGGATTTCAAGTACCAGGCGGGTCATACCAAATTGGCGACGCAGTTTCTCAACTACAATGGCTGACGAGTACGCAGACTTGAAGCAGATGTTGCAGCAGCAGCTGAAGCTGATGGAGTCGCTGACCGTCAAGCTATCCAATTCATCTATGGGCCAATCAAGCGCGGCTGGTGGTTCACAATCTGTTGATCACATTGCCGGCAGCATCACCGAATTCTTGTATGACCCGCAGGCCCATATCACCTTTGAGTCCTGGTACAAACGATACGAGGACTTGTTCTCTGTCGATCTGGCTGCCCAGGACGATGCATGAAAGGTCCGACTTCTACTTCGCAAACTGGGTCCGGCTGAACATGTGCGTTATGCAAACTTCATCCTTCCCAAGAATCCCCGGGAAGTCGCTTTCAAGGACACGGTTCAGACGTTGTCGCAGATTTTTGGTGAGCAATCATCCCTCTTCAACACTCGATTTCAATGCTTGCAACTGTGCAAACGAGATTTTGATGATTTCATCACGTACGCGGGCATTGTTAATCGTGAGTGTGGGCGTTTCCAACTCGGTTCTCTCACTGAGGACCAGTTTAAATGCCTTATATTTATCTGCGGCCTCCAGTCCCCCAAGGATGCTGATATCCGGACACGTCTCCTGTCCAAAGTGCAGCAGAACAACTCCACCACACTCCAAGAGCTGGCAGCAGAGTGCCAAACGCTGATTAATCTCAAGCACGACTCTGCAATGATTCAGAACCCGGCCTCATCTTTCTCAGTCCATACGGTCACATCGACCAAATCGCATCCTGTTACACGGCCCAAGCAAGTGTCCAAGTCGAGATCTCCGCCATCTCCTTGTCGGCACTGTGGCGCGTGGCATTTCCACCGGGATTGCACTTTCCGCCAGCATCGCTGCCAAAGCTGTAATCAGGTTGGACACCGTGATGGGTTCTGCAAATCATTACCAGCTTCTGGAGGCAAGTCAGCCCCCGCCACTCCTAATTCCAGGCACCGTTTCCGGTCCAAACGCAAGCCCAAACCCCAGTCCGTGGGTAATTCTCTCAGTCTTTTGGCCGCTTTCCAGCTCAAGGCGTCTGGTCGTAGAAAATTTGTTGATGTCTTGCTCAAGGGCCATGCAGTTCGTCTACAGCTGGACACTGCCTCAGATATCACCATCATCTCTGAGAGACTCTGGCAGTCCTTTGGCAGCCCAACGATGCAGCAGACTTCTCAGTCCGTCACAAGCGCGTGCGGTGGTCTCGTACAGCTAATTGGGCAGCTGCAATGCTGTGTGTCGTTCCGCGGTACCAGCATCACTGCGATCTGCTACATCACCAAGTCTGATCTAAACCTACTTGGTCTCGACTGGATTGAACAACTTGGGTTGGCCGATATGCCGCTCCGCATTGTTTGCAGTCAGGTGCAGATTCCCGCTGTGCTTGCAGACCAAGCCAAGGACATTCTCCAACGGTTTGTTCCAGTGTTCCAAGACGGTCTGGGTCGTTGCACATACACTCAAGCCGTGCTACATCTGTCTCCTGGAAGTCAACCAGTCTTCCGTCCAAAGCGACCAGTCCCATATGCAGCCCTACCACTTGTCGAGGCTGAACTGAAACGTCTAGAGGAACTGGGAGTTCTGGTTCCTGTATCCTACTCCGCCTGGGCCGCTCCAATCGTTGTGGTTAAGAAGCCCAATGGCTCGGTCCGCATTTGTGCTGACTTCTCCACCGGTCTCAATGCCGCGCTGACGCCGAACTGCTATCCACTACCGGTTCCGGCAGATCGTTTCACCCTGCTAAATGGTGGCACTTGCTTTGCCAAGTTGGATCTCGCTGATGCGTATCTGCAGATCGAGGTCGCCCCAGAGTCGCGCGAATTGTTGACCATCAATACCCACCGCGGTCTGTTCCAATACACCAGGTTGCCCTTTGGTGTCAAGACCGCCCAGGCCCTATTTCAACAAACGATGAACGCAATGCTCTCCGGCATCCCTGGCACAGCTGGGTACCTGGACGACATCATCATCGTGGGTCGCTCCCCTGCCGAGCTGCAAGACCGAGTGTGCGCAGTACTCGAACGCGTGCAGGAATATGGCTTTCGCCTACGGGCCGACAAGTGCCAATTCTTCCTCGACTCCATCAAGTACCTTGGATTCGTTTTTGACGTCAATGGTCGCCATCCAGATCCTGAAAACATCCGGGCCATCCAGCAGATGCCTGCCCCCAAGAATGTATCGCAACTTCGTTCGTTCCTTGGCCTGATCAGCTACTATAGCGCCTTCCTACCATCGCTGCATGACGTACGGGCCCCGCTCAACCGTCTGTTGCAGAAGGATGCTTCCTGGTGCTGGTCCCCCGACTGTGAAAAGGCCTTCGCCCAGCTAAAGTCGATGCTGAGTTCAGATCTGCTGCTCACGCACTACGACCCGACGCTGCCGATCGTTGTTGCTGCAGATGCTTCCAACCAAGGAGTTGGTGCCGTCATCTCACATACTTTTCCTAATGGGTCTGAAAAGGCGATCATGCATGCATCTCGCACGCTAACCTCTGCGGAGGAGAACTATGGGCAAATAGAGAAAGAGGCTCTAGCCCTCGTGTTTGCCGTCAAGAAATTTCACAAACTATTGTACGGTCGCCACTTCACGTTGTTGACGGATCACAAACCATTGCTGTCAATCTTCGGTTCGAAGAAGGGCATTCCCGTCTACTCAGCCAGCCGACTTCAACGATGGGCAACCATCCTTATTGGCTACGATTTCGACATTTGCTACTGTCGTACTACAGACTTTGGTCAGGCTGACGCCCTTTCTCGCCTCAACAGCAATCAGCAGGAACCGGAGGAAGATACCGTGATTGCAGCTATCTCGATTGAGGACGATGTGCGCCGTCAGCTATCAGACGGCATACGAGGTATCCCCGTCACTGCCGCGGACATCCGACGTGCTACTGAACAGGATCCTGTCCTCCGCCAGGCCATCACCTACGTGCAGACCTGCTGGCCAAGCACTGCTCTCGCTGGCGATCTTCGCCAGCTCTTCCTCCGCCGAGCATCGCTATCTGTGGTTGACTCCTGCCTCATGTTTGCAGACCGTGTGGTGATCCCATCTTCCCTCCGACCCACTGTACTACGCCAGTTCCATGCGGCTCATCCTGGTACCAGCCGAATGAAGTCTATTGCTCGCAGTTTTGCCTGCTGGCCGGGTATCGACGGCGACATCGACGACCTGGTTCGACGCTGTTCTTGATGTCAGCAAGCTGCCAAGATGCCGCCTCGTCAACCGCCAGTACCCTGGGAACCACCAGAGAGGCCTTGGTCAAGCGTGCATATCGACTTCGCTGGCCCACTTAACGGAGTCTCCTACCTAATATTGGTTGACGCCTACTCGAAATGGCCCGAGATTGCTCCGCTGAATCCAGCAACTGCATCTTCCACTATCGCCTTCCTACGACGCATCTTTAGCCAACATGGCTTACCAGGAGTCCTGGTTTCAGATAATGGCTCTCAGTTTACTTCGTCGTCGTTTGAGGATTTCTGCCGCCAGCACAACATCCAGCATCTTCGCTCCCCGCCCTACCATCCTCAGTCTAACGGTCAGGCAGAGCGTTTTGTTGACATCTTTAAGAGAGCCCTCTTGAAAGCTCGTGGGGAGGGGACCACGGACGAGATAGTCCAGGCATTCCTGTTTTCCTACAGGACAACACCGAACCCGGCGTCCCCTGGTGGCGTTTCTCCTGCCGAAGCGTTGATGGGCCGAAAACTGCGTACAACGTTTCATGCCCTCGTCCCTACCGGTGCGCAGCCCGCGCAGACTTCTCCAGTTTCTCGCAGCAAGCTCTCCATCGGAACACCTGTCTTCGTTCGTGATTATCGAGCGGGATTCCCAGACTGGATTGAAGCAACTGTAGTATCGCACAGAGGCAGTATGTTGTTTGACGTCGACGTTGGTGATGACATCTGGGTTCGCCACCACAACCAGATCCGAAGGCGACATTGCAGTAACACAACTGGGCTCGATTCGGCGCCGTCACTCTCTCTTGACAACCTACTGGATACCTTCGCCATTCCGGCAGATCGGTCGGTTCCCGAACCCACTGCTGCGCTTCCTTCGGATGTACCGCCTTCGGTATCAGTCACTGTCCCCGGGTCTCCAAAAGCGGTACTGACCCACTTGGAGGGGAGGTGTTGGGAGTGCCTACACTCCCAAAAACAAGAGCAAACCAATCAATGGAGATCACGTGCATTTGCTCTCTCTCTACCGCGCTGTCATCTCAATGAGGCGCTTTCCCATTGGCTACTCCCCTCTTCCCGAAGGTCATTGGACCGAGTGCCAGCGAACCACGCTAGCGTGTGATAAATATGCGTCACCCTTAGCTAGACGTGACTTGCTAATACGTGTTTGCTAATACACGTTCCGTGGCCAGCCGTGTGTTCTTTGTCTGCTGCCTTGATATTGGGGACCAGGGTCGAGTGCGTATACGCTCCACGGGATTTCAAGTACCAGGCGGGTCATAACACCTGCAACTGGACAGTCTGAGCCTGAACTAACCGCCCCGTGACCCCGAAATTTTCCTCTGAAACAATGCTGCGCAAATGAATGAAATACTATTTTAATAACGAATATTTTCACCGTTCGCGTACGGTTGTATCCAACGCACTGGCATGTAATCAATAGAGTTTTCAAAGGCCTCACCTATTATCCTTACCAAACAAACTGTAACAAAATAAACTGAAGCAAACCTGCGTGGGACTCCCTTACACTTAGAGGATTTCGATGCAGCCTGGACGTTCGCAGATACTCTTTGTTTTTACAGCGAGTCGTCGGTGCCTGAAACGAACTTCTGGAGGACGTGGTAATGACGTATTCCACGGAGACATTTAAACAAAGAATGGGTGTATATTTGCTTTAAAAATGCCGCTTATCTGGTCCGAGCAGGTCTGTTATGCCAAACCAGAGCCTTTCACACACTTACCGTTAATGCGGATAATTTTCATTTCATTTTACCATTACCGCCTACATCTGAATGTACTCGAGTTTCTGCCCAGCATGTTTAAAAACGATATTCCGTAAGATATTCATATTACTGACATCATTTTAGTACCGTGTTTATTTAAAGTAAGCTATTGCAAGTAGCGTTTTCAATATGGATTTCAAATGCAATGTCCATTGCACTTAAAATATGCCGACCTATACTGGCGGACTTTCTTGAAGAAAACCCAGGCGGCATTTCGGTCAGGTATATGCTCAGGTCCTCACTCTATCTCAGTCAGCAGTTCTCTCATTTTTGAGTAATTCCCTTTCTGTACATTTCTCACTCTGTTGGTCCGAATTTCGGATACAGGAAAATGACTGTACACCCAAACAAGAACACAGTGATTACCTTGGCCCAGGGGCGTGTTAGAAGTCAGTCCAAGGATACAGCCTTCATTACTGGTAATGATGATATCAAAACAGCTTAACTGCTGTCCAATTCTAGATCAGGTGTTCATTGTAATATGTTGGGCAAGGATTTCACCAGTGAACAACTGGGATAGTTTCTGGCCGGATGAGCTTTCCAATCGCGTGCACTGCATCGATTCCCAGTCGATGCCCGGAAAATTAAAATCTCCAAGTGTTATTATGTGCTTGCTACCTGTTTGTCGGAAGTATAGTTTATGCCGCCAAATATCAACTGGTCTAATATTTCGTCTGATAAATTTCTGTTACGACTAGCAGAGGCGTAACTTTGAGTGACTGAAAGGTCGAAAGGTTCTATATGGACTAATGGGATTTTTAAATTAACCATATCCAGAAAAGGCTGCGAACACACGCTGGCACCCGTTCGGCCTCCGACCAGGATTCTAGCGTCCAGAGATAATGAGGAGGCTGCTATCTATCGTCTTTTGACAAGTCGTCTTGGGGACATTACAAAGTATTAGACGGGTTTTCGTTGCGGTACAAAGATCAGAACGTCGCTAACTTACAACGCAACGCACAGAGCAGCACATACTAGTGTTAACTTACTACGGTAACTAGAAAGAGATGGTCTGACACAGTGTCAATAGACAGGCGTTTCGCAAAATTCAGCTATTTTACCAGACCGTCTAATAAGACGGGGAGAAATTATACAATGCACTAAAAGGCGAGTTCTAAGAAGAACTCGATAGAAAGTACGCATTAGTTGCCTGGGACTACGGAGATAAAGGTAATGCTTTACATATCTTAGAAATTCAGCTCCGCACCTCGACCATGATTGATCAACGAGCCAGGAAAACACTAAATGTTGTTGCGAAAACGACAATTAAAACTATAAAGAGAGATAGACACAGGGAAAACTTTACTCTAAGTGGGCATGTCGTGTTTCTCACAAAAAATAGTAGCAAAGAAAGTCGGGAGAGACGGCAAAGGTAAATAACTATACAGCCTCACGAAAATTAAAGCCCTCTCCGGTATCGGTTGTCGTAGCGTGAATGCTCTTCGAAAAGTCCAAAAGGTTCCGAGCTGAAGTCAGTTACTGGAGTTTTTTTGCTCGGGTAGATTCACGTCCGGCAAGATACGACCAAGAAAAAAATGTTTCGTGGCAGCTGACTAAAAAGGATTGAGGCACATGAACGTAACAAATGGAGCAATAGGACCAGGGTGCATGCAGACGGCAAACACGCGTTAGCGAAATCCGAGACCGGTTGTGCGTATTTTAGGTTATTTGAACAACCCCACAGAACAGTCAGATGCACAAGAAAGTTCAAAGTGAAAAATCGAAAATGTACAAAGGCAAATATTCCTAGTGGACAGCTGTATAGGCACGCTTGTCCAAACATAAAGAGCCGACTAGCAGGATGCTGCCTTCCGTTCTCCGCACGACCTGCCGTACTCCACGAAGTGATCTTTTGTCGCATACTTAAGTAACTGATAAGGACTGCACTAGGTCAGACGAGGATTTTACTATCAGGAGATCTACTTTCCTCGTAATTAGCTTGCAAAATTCAGATCCCTAGGAAACATTCTCAGGTGGGGTAATTCGGTTTATTAATGAACTTGTAAACACACAAGTTTCTACCTCTACCACCTATGGTGGTTGCTTCGCGTTGCATGCCCAACTTAGCCATCTGCGGAAATCTCCGCTAAGTACGCATTGAGGTCGACTTGGTTTCATTTTAGTTCAGACATCTTGCAGAAAATGCACGAAAATAGCCTGACCGCTGAATAGTTAAAAAATCTGTGTCCATTCAGTCAAACACTGTGGTTTTGATCCTCGTTACAGTTAAGTTTACACCGGGCAGTTTGATTTTGTTTATGTTGAATGATCCAATGAACTAACGGAGATGCAGGAAGATCCGACCTTACAGATTCATTTTAAAGGCCACCGGGGTGCCATCACAAATGTCAGTTTCAATTCGAATGGCAAACAACTGGGTATATATGTGCATTTTGTGACGTTTATCGGTTTAGCCACATCGTCCATGGACTCCTCATTGATGATATGGAACATCAAACCACAGACAAGGGCATACAGGTTCTTAGGTCACGAAGATGCCGTGTTTTGCGCAGTTTTTTCCCCGAATGGCGAGATTGTGTTGTCAGCCTCCAAGGATAGAACTGTCAGATTGTGGATTCCCAGCGTGTAGTGCATGCGTTTGTTCTAACTTAACTTCAGAAAAGGCGAGTCAGTAACTTTTCGGGCTCATTCGGCTGCTGTTCGGTGGGTCGATATATCCTCGGATAATATGCATCTTTGTACAGCCTCCGCTGACAAGTCTGTAAAGGTTTGTATACGGTGTGCCTGAACCTTCGTTAGGTGTGGAGCATTCATAGGCAAAAGTTTGTTTATTCCCTCAACAAACACGTTAACTGGGTTCGATGCTGCAAGTCCGATGTCTCTCTTTTTAACACCTTAATAGATATTCACCCGACAGCCAGCTGATCCTGTCAAGTTCAGATGACAAAACGATTCGCCTATGGGATTGTCGAAACCAGGATTGCGTTCAAACTTTTACTGAGCAGGGTGGTTTTGCAGGCCATCTTGATTTCCATCCCAGTGGGAACTGCTTTGCTTCTGCTGGCACAAATTTTTCGGTCAAAATTTGGGACCTTAGGATGAAACGCCTACTTCAACACTACAATGGTATGCTTATTTTTTACCTCTTCGTGGGTGCATACTAATTGATCCGGATTGATTCTCTGCGACTTTTAAGTCCCTTGAAAAATGAAATAATTCCGTGTAGTGAACCTTGAATAATCAGCATAAGATATCACGTATTATTGCAACTTAGCGCGCATTAACGGACACGCCCTAACAAAATCAGCAAGAACATCCTACGAACGAATACTTTAAAACTTTAAAAAGTGCCTTTTAATTTCTCTCGTGCCAAGTGACTGGAAAGTGCTCGACCTTCTACATTCCTTTGCTATCCGTATACTTCGCGTAATTGCTGACCGAAATTAGGATTTCTCTTCGTCCTGAATATCAAGGCATTATGTAGTACCGGCTGAACCTTGGTCCTTGCACATAATATGCAAAATGCATTCCGTCTGTGCACAGCTATTCAGAAGCACCAAAGGCTATTTTAATCTTTCCTATTCCTCCACGACAGATTTTTTTGTGTATACTTGCGAATGCTTTTTACGTCACTATCGTGAGAATGACCGCTAACTTACTTCACTTGTCCGTTGGCATGAAGTCGCTGACAGTAATAACCTGGCGAATATAATTATATCGTGAAGTTTGCTGATTACATAACAACATGCTCCCATAGAGAATTAGGTTTTGTCGCTGGGAAAAAGACGATTTCGACATCAGAAAAGAGGAGGGAGAACAGATACTACGATTAGTGTATGACTTCTCCCATTTCCTATAGTCGACTTTGAAAAGTGATTGCCACTTATGATGCCTTCATCTGTGTAACAGACCATACCTCAGCCGTGAAAAAGGTCAGTTTCCATCCGAGTGGGCACTATCTCATTTCGGCCTCGGAGGATTCGACGCTGAAAATCTTCGATCTGCTCGAAGGTCGACCTTTGTACACCTTGAATGGTCACAGAGGTGCCGCTACTGCCGTCGGGTTCTCTTCAACTGGCGCCCTATTTGCCTCTGGTGGCGCCGATGAGCAAGTATGTGTTGTTTTATTGCTGTTCTGGTTGACAAACCTTTGTTCTCTGCACAGAGTAATCATACAGACATGCCAATCACCGCATACACCTTTGTAAGCTATCTCTAAGTTCGCATATTTCTCCCGAGGATTTAATATGTCGCCAATGAAGATATTGACAACTGGATCAGAAGATTTGATGAGTTGGTGTTATGAAATTCGAAAAATGTTTTCTTTGCTAATTGGAAAATTGGGCGGCTCATGACGGTCGTGTATTGTTGCTGTCAACTGTTTTTTTTTTAATGTCTGAATCGAATACCCCGGATGTCGAAATAACATTTCGTGTACTTTATACGCCTATTAACCTCATTCATGAACTTACTTTTTTCTCTCTGCAATCATTCAGACGCTGTTGTGGGTCATAACCACTGTTGGCGCTTGCGTCCCGCCGTTGATATTCCTGTCGGTGCTCGGACCCTACACCTAACAATAGCTGCAGTACATATGACGAAGCCGCTTTCCAGGAAAGCACAATGAGTAGAAAGGTATCTGTTACTGATTGTTGGCATTTGAGAAGAGCGGTCCGATGTGAGCGACCTACCAAATCAGCCACCGGATGTTTCTTCCGCCGCCGGTGACGAGAACATCACCGGCCGCCGAAGGAGCAGTTGTCACTTGGACGTTAATTAGATTTTAGTCAGAGAGAAGGGATTGCGCTCTATCTACCTCATTCTCGTCACATCCACTGTTTTCCAATGTCGATACAAACTTCAAAGCGAGCGGGGGTGAGCATGAGCTAGGTGACTGACTGGACGTGAAATCCTCGTCTACGAGTGTCATACAGGTGCTGGTTCCTGCACCCGTAAGAACCGAATTCCCATTTGTTGAATCTCGATAGGGCGAGGGTAACCATAGATACCACAGCAAGGAAGAACCACTGTAGCTGGATGCTCAGTTCGAGAGTGGCGACCTCGCCGTCATTTGGCAATCTCCCGGGTCACTACTTTTGATTCGTCATGATAGGTTAGGGGCTCGTGATGTTTAATGTGGGATTGGTAAATTCGAGTTAGATTGACTGGGTGTGCATCTGGGTGCAGTGAATAAAGTGACCAAAAAGCCGCCTCACCAAATGATGAACTCCCATATTCTGTTGATTAAGGAAAACCCACCCCCCGATTTTATTAACTTATACTGGCTTATGGTAAAAGAGGAAGTCGGACGACCGAGTGTATTAGTCCGATTCCGCATGGACGATGTCGAAGCCCACTACCTTGTTCACTGAATGCGACTGAACTTTTACTGTGCCCTCGGTCATAAAACTGTACCTGCCGTTAGCAACCTACCTCCATGCCTCCAGTTGACTTCTTAGCTGTTCTCTGACAACTTACTATACGCGTGCTATCTTGAGCCCTATGATCCAGTCGCCAGCTTAGCCACCGATAATGATGAGGATGACGGAGGCGACTCCACGTTATTCGACGTCTAGAGACAGTTCGGTCGAACGGGCTGTTTCTCCCATTTTAACAGCTGATTCTATCCGCTTGCATTATGTCTTTGAAAAACTCCAGCTCTCAGTTATTCGTCGGACTGCACTGTGGCGTCTTGTTATTATTCTTGGCTAAGTTTGGTTCGGTGAAGCCCACATGCTAGTCATTCCCATGCGAGTCCAACTTAGGTGCGGTGTCAAGACAAGATCCATTCTAGCTGAGGATGAGCCGGTGAGAAACACGCCGACAAACTGTTTCCGCTTTGGTCCCTTTTGGATTCCATCATGACAGTCGTCAGCAGGCAGTCTTATATTGCATAATCTTGGTTGCAGTTTTTGACTACATCCATTCCGAGTTTGTGTTGCAGCTGATGAAGTTTGACTGTAGACTGAGCAAAATTGTTTTGTATAACGCAAGCTCGGCTTGCCGTCGTGTTCTTGGGTACATCAACCTCTTACAACACGACGCTCGATAAGGGGTAGCCTGTCACCCATCCGTGAACAGGCTTTTCATGCCTTTGAGAACACCGAGCTTGCACTTGGCTGCCGGATGTCCGACAACGCTGACGACGTAGCCCTACCGTTGTCAGGGTGGGCTAGTGTGGCAAGTTAATTTTTCGGCTAAAGCAGATTCTCAACTCGACGAAAACACAAGTTTTCACACGAGGCATCCCTGACCAGTACAAGAAACCCCCTGTTAATATCGGCCTAACGTCTAACAAGACCCGACAGTTTAAAATAGTTCTGGAACGACTTTCTGCAGGCAATTTTCGTGGGCCATATCTCCGGACCCGTTATAAAATGTATTTTCCACGAAGGCCACGTGTAGCTGGTATCACCTGCTCGGCTATTTCTCCGTGGCCGTATGTAGAAAACGACAGAATGTATTTGGCCACTGCTACTCGAGACACACCTGGTTTCACTTGCGACAGTCAGCGCTCGTGGCACTAGTACAGAATCATCTCAAAGCGTCTAAAAGTGGTCAAACTGGTCCTGACTTGTTTTCCGTTTCCACTCGAGTGATCTCGATGCCATTGCCCTAAATCGCATAGGCCTGCACACCGAGAGTGACACTGAGGTGATCGACAAGAAAATCCGGCCAAAATTGGTCGGGTTTTTGAGCTCTTATTTCGGCCGTCGTGTTGGAAAGAACCGAGTTCCTAAGCACCTTCACCGCAAGCCCAAATAAGTTACAATGGCGAGGCTGTTCATGATTGGGACTTTATGAGGTGCTAGTATACCACCTCCTACAGTTGAAGAGGTTTTTGTAAAATCAGTTGGTAAGCAGTTGGTTTGTACTCTCGGTCCTCATTAAGAAGGACTGCATAAGGAGGAAGAGGTGTCTGTAGTACCATACAGTGTGGAGAGTCACTAAGTGGCCCTACAACCACACCCCGAGAGTTTTTCGACTTATCTTTTGTGGGGGCTTCCTGCTGTCCTAGTCCGAATGCTCACGTTTTCAAATCATAGTCCACGTCAGTCAGATTATTCTGGCGCCAGGTTACCTGAGTTATATCTTATGGTAGAAGGTGCCTCCGCGTTTAGTTTGTGTGTATACCACCGTTTAAACAGCATATGCGCACGTTTTGGACCTTATTCTTCATTCCACCCAACCCCCCACCCTGCCTGCATTTGTTGGTAATCTGTTGTTGTCGAAGTTACTAAGGCCGTCTGCCTCCTTATGGATGTCAATAGCACTAATGAGAGGCGGGGTTTGTTTAATCCAATCGCATAACCTGGTCTTTGGCTCGGACAGCGCAAAATGCTCCCTTAGGTGGCGTAGGCTCCTTTTCAAGTTACGTTAGTTTATTGTATTGTCCGCCCCCAAAGCGGATTGCGCTGGAGGTGCGCTGAACCAAAACGGCGGCTAGACTGTCTCACGGTACGCGCCAATCGGGCAGCGCGGATTCCATGTGAAGCCACAACTTCTGCCGTCCGTGGGTGGTGCGGAGGTACGCCTAGGCGTTGACCACGTCGCGTCAGCCACTGTGTCCAATCCCAATGCCAACGAGTTGGCGCGTTCGAACAGTCGACTGGTGCATAGGAGAGGAAGGAATGAGCGATACTGACACATAGTCGTAACTCTTACTAGTGTAAATTTGGCACACTTTAATCTCCCACGAAGCGCCCACAGAAGGTTGTTAACGGACGAGAGAACTCAGTTCTCAGGGCTGAGAGTCAGGCTGCAGTGCCCCCTTCATGTGACCTCCAGGACACTCTTAAGCATGTGAACACCGAGCGGCCCTTACAGCAGACCGACACATTCCTCAAGGATCAGGTTGTGTGTGGCGCGCGTAGACGGTCTGTTTATCCTTGTCAGCCACTGCGTCCGAGCCCACCTCCGAGGCAGGAGAGAGTGCGATAGATACCTCGAAAGTCCGCCTCACTGTGAACTAATTCACGCTCAAGCCATCCTCCTGCACCCATTCTCCGTAGGGCACGGGGTGGTTATCCTCGTCGGCGACGGTCGGACAGTGGGTGTGTTGTAGTAGCGGCAGTCCAGCTTACTTTCAGCCTCAACACCTAGCTGATACGGTTCCAAATTCTTTAGGTTGTTTCAAGTAAAGCCAACGACACGCATTCGAGATGAGTGTTATCTCTTGGAGGTCAACTTTGCGATGACTGGGTGTCGGCCAACCAAGTACCGAAAAACCCAGCCGCCTAACCACGAACAGTCAATAATTGACCGAGTACTTACTTGTACTTGATACGGCTGTGATCATGCCTGATTTAGCCGGCCTCGATGATGTCCTAAACTGTACCTCTGCACGCGTGACGATCCGCGGCAGCAGATCTGGACAGCTCAATCCATTCTCTTCGCCAACGACGTAGACCGAATACTGAAGGTCCAAGAACCACCTCCATGTCTTGACGAACTGTGTCGAGACAGGTTTTGAACTGACGCCTCCAATGGGGTAACGGTGCCGGACCGAGGGCAGTAACACTGAGCTCCTGAGGTGGACGACGAAGAACATGCCCGAACCACTTCAGTCGTCTTTCTTGGATGGCCTGAGTTATCCTTGCGATGTTGTCGCAGCGAGCGCGGACTGTCTCATTTGAGACGAAGTCGGTGAACTTGACTCGAAGGATGGTCCTCAAGCAGTGGTGGTCAAATGCCTCCAATTTTCGCTCGTCCTCCGCGCGCAAAGCCCAGCATTCTCAACCGCAGAGAAGGACAGACCGGACAGATGCACAGTACACGCGAATCTTAGTGGCGATGGTGAGGTCACGTCGGATCCAAAGGCATTTCCGAAGGCTTGAGAAAACCCAGTGGACAGCATCGATTCGGGAGACAATGTCCTCCTTACCCTGTCCATTAGGCAGCAGCCTAGCCCCAAGGTATTTAAAACTGTCTACTTCTTCAGGTTGACAGCCATCAATCCCGAGGGGTGCCTTCTCCTGGTCAGGGATGCAGCCCATAAGTCAAATAGCTCAACTTGAGCATGCTAAGCTCAAAGGGTATCTGGAACTGGGCATGGCTGACTGAAGATTACAGTGGAACCAGTAACGACCACTCAGTTTGTAGCTGCCCTGTCTTCCAGCCAATTTTAATGAGGGAGTGCATTCGTTTTCAGACGCTCAGCATTTCCTGTGAAAAACCATTTTCCAAATGCCCTGTCCCATTGACGGCGCATTTCAGCGGGAGATTGGACAGTCGACGCCAGTATATGTGAGAAACATCGGCAAAATCGTACTTGAAATAGGAAAAAACGACCGTAACTGAATTGAGACGAAGGAATAACAGCTTAATTTTAAGGCCCCGCGTTCGAACTCTTAGTAAAATGTGAATATTTCCTCCAACTGAATTGGCGGAGAGCAGGATTTGGTAATTTCGAAATCAATGGTAGGGAGCGCTCACCGATAGTTCTTACGGAACTCACTCGTTCCGTTGTACCTTACGGGCCCTCTCTCGAGCCCAACCAGCAGCCGCACAGCGGCGCATGATATAGGCAGTATGGTATTACCAAGAAAGACAAGGGAGACTGGAATGGCCATTTCTGGCTTATCAGCTCTCATCAGCCAGTCATACCAAACCCCGAAGTGTGGAACGCCCGAGGTTCGAACTCGCGACCTGTTAGTTGGAAGTCCACGCCTCTAACCACTGGGCCACGAGCCCGTTGTCCAGTCGGTTTCGATCGGGAATATACAATGGTTAGAGGCGTGGACTTCTAACTAACAGACCGCGAGTTCGAACCTCGGGTGTTCCACACTTCGCGGTTTGGTATGACTGGCTGACGACGGCTAATAAGCCAGAAGTGGCCATTCCAGTCTCCCATGTCTTTGTCGGCAGCGACATTCCGCCAATTTGAAAATCGTCCCCATAGTAGCAAAGCAGGTTTGGAAACATATTCGAGAGGCAACAGGGTGTCTTTTTGACATAAAGGGAGACTCGCTGCCTCGTACACCCAATATTTTCAAGAGAATGTTAACTTCAATGCTGAAGTATGCTCTCGGCTAGAAGGGGGCCTCTGGGGTGAGCCTGTAATATTGACTATCACGTTATCATAATCCCAAGACGTTTAAGTCACGCCAACATGCCACCATCTGAATGGGCGCCTTTGTGGCCGCCTGCAAAAGTCACCTGTTAAAACAACGACTCCTTAAACAGTGTGCTTTTTCCATTTATTTCATATACCCTTTTAAGATCAGGCCTATTTTGTAGAAAACACGCACAAAATACCCTTTTTTACATTCATTTTGTGGCTAATCACATCCTTTTGAAAGCTTATGCTCGAGGACAGGGTAGCTCTTGGTTTAAAAGTTACTTTTCCCCGCTGGGTTAATTCCTTACTTTCTTTAGTCCGCTTAAGCAAAAGTTGAAAGCCAAGGTAACATTTGTCTCAGCGATGCCTAGACAATTCTCCGGAGTGATCTCGCACCGAGGGTGGAATGTTGCTGTTTTATTTTTTTAAATGCTCAACCGACTCACGTTTTAGAAGGTTCTTTCAGGTGGTAAATCATGCTCGAAAAAGATCCACAAAGCGTCTTTCATTTTCGCTCATTCGCCTTCTGTTGTCAAGTAATTCGTTTACTAAATTGATATCAACTTCGCCACAAAATGGCTGATCTTTGAAAGTTTTTCAGGGAGATTAAAAAGAGTTCATGACTCTTGGTGAAGGGCTTTAGAGACACTTTCCCCCACTGTAGTAGTAAATCGTCAATCAAAAGTAGGAAGACTTTTCATAGTCTATAGCCAATATTTATTTACAAACTGACAGCCTGGTGGGATTATACTGCATGATAATCAATATTACAACCCTATCTAAGTAATCCTTTCCAAGCAAGACAATATTTTCAGAATTTCACTTAATAAGTACGTCATCTACTGTATGAACCGGGCTAGTGTTTTTTTTTCCGTAAGGTAATTTGTCCCCAAACAACAGCAACTGAAGGATGCTTCTCCTTTGCAGGTCTTCCTCTGGAAGACGAACTTCGACCAGGTCGATGGTCGCGACTCCGTCCTCCTGACTACGCGTGTGAGGCAGTCGGTTCTGCGGGAGCACCAGCCAAATGAGACCTACTGCAGCCAACGCTACGGCGCCGGCGACGCGGCCTGCGACTCCATGCCGCAGGTACCGCCATTTTCGTCCGCTCAGAGCCATGTCACCAGCGCTGAGGAGACCCTCCTACTGGGTGGTGGTGGTGGTGGTGAAGCGCAGAGTCAGAATCAACCGTACCGGGAACGTCCGAGCCAGAAGATTATCCAGTACCGGGAGATGACGCCCAGCATGCAGGTCATTGACTCCTCTCAACCTGCACCGCCGCCGCCGCCATCAGACGTCCCGGCTTCCTCTTCTTCCACAAAGGTACCTTTTCTCCCCCATCCCCCCGAGGCGCAAGGGTAGAGAGCCCCTTTTTGTCGCTGAATCTGGATTAGCCGGCTCACTACATTCAAACAAACCTGCGTGGCTAGGCGTTGTATCGTGAGTTGGACGGCGGCAGAGGGTAAGTACAGGTCAGATGAGTTGTCGTCAGCAAGGAGTGGGTTCCAGGCGGGGGCGGCAGTGTGCGTGAACGTCCACCGTGATTAGCTAGATGAACTTACAGCTAATTAGAAAAGGAAGAGGCGGTGGCCGAAACGAGAATTTTATTGGCTAGGTCGCAGTTGGTAGCCAGGAATTGGGAAGCGGAGGGCGACCTTAACCCTAACCTGAACCTTAAACGTTAACCGTTAACCCTAACGGCAACCCTAACCCTAACCGTAGCCCTTAGACATAGCCGTAACTGAAAAACCTAATCGTAATACTGAAGCCTAATCGTACGCTCAAACCCTTACCGTAACCCGAAAACCTAAACCTAAATGGCATAGCCCTAACCCAAAAATCGGAAACCATTAACCGGTACCCTAATCCTAACCTCAAATGTAAAACGGAGGCCAAATGGGTCAGATGGGGTTATGGAATCCCACAAAATAGCCCCAGTAAACAACCCCTCCCCCCAGCCACCTGTAATACGGGGCCTGGCCTCCAACTGCGATCTAGCCATTTAATTCGTCTGACGTTTCCCATTCACGCCCGCACCGATCATCAGAGACAGCACATCAGGCAAGGGTGACGAATAAAATTGCCGCAATTAATGACTCAACTGGGGGAAATTAAGCCATTATGACGCTATTGTCAACCAGCGGTGGTGGATTCGAGAGTCGCTAATTGGAGCAGAGGTATAGCAACTGCAACCCCTATGTGCCACCTCTGATGATGGATTGCGGCGTGAATCCGAAACGTCAGACGAATCAAACTCTTGTTCCAGCGGTCGAATCTTCTCTCACCACCTTCCTGAAACTCGCATTTTCAATTGTATCGAACGTCCTTCTAATTTCAAGATGATGTAGCCCGAGTTAATTCCTAAGTGAAGCTATGATGGCTTTTGACTGGACGGACATGTACGTTACGCCTCTGGCAAAATCACAACTTAAGTGACGTGCAAATTTCATGTAAAAGGTGCACAAACATTCGTTTTTCGCAATCACAATGAGAAATTACATTTGGTACTCTGGGATGGTGGGGCTTGTTGTCTTCACGTTAGTTCATACAGCTGACAGAGTGTGCAACGTTATATGTCCTTGCTTTACTTAACCAAACTGTGAAAAAGTTGGCGACCTCGGTGGGATTCGAACCCACGACACGAAGAGGCAGGTTCGGATCCCACCACGGTCGTCGAGTTTTCCGCAGTTAGGTCAAACTGGATTCTTCGAAACCTGCCAAAACATCTGTTAATATCCTTGTTTCAGTATTCACAGGCTACCAGAAAGCTTGTTTATAAGGACACGTAGGGCTGTGCGAATTTTCTTCGGGGAAACATGTTGAATGCGATTAAGACACCGTGGTTCAGTTCAGTTCAGTTCAGTTTATTTGAGGGAAATATAGGTGTTAAAACCTTTCAACTCCCTATTTGTTACAAGGAGGCGAACAATAAAAAAAAAATTTGAAAATTGAAACATCAAACGGCTACAGAGTTTCTTCAGATTGGCAACGTTTTGTAAGCCAGACAGATAAACGAATTGTTCCAAAAATTAAAAACATTAACGTTACTAAATGTGCTGTACAGTAGTCTGTCTAGGGATAGTTGGTGCTATCTCAGTTTCGGAGGGAGACGAATTGAATGCCAACACACATTTAACAGACATGGGACAATATTAAAAAAACAAACGTTACTGAAATATAGGAAGTAATATAACAACATTAATAAACTGTTCGAACGAAATGCTAGACAATCTGTCAGGTGGCATTGTGACGATTGGTGGCAATCTGGTCCAAGTTGCGCTTAAAAGCCTCGACGGAGGTGGACATGACGACACCTGCAGGCAGAGCATTCCAGGCCTCGATCACTCTGTTTGAAAAGAAGAACTTCCGAGTGTCCAGCTTGGCGCCAGTTACTCGTAGTTTAAGTGGATGACCTCGGAGGTTCGTTGTGGTCGCTAACTCAAAGAAATCAGTAGGTACGAGACAGCAGTCCTGGCCGCGCAGTATACGGAATGTTTGTATAAGGTCGCCTCTTAGCTGTCTGTAACTCAGTGGAAAGAGACCGAGATTGGACAATCGGGTTTCATAGGGTAGTGAACCCTGTCCACCTACGAGTTTGGTTGCCCGCCTCTGAACTTTCTCGAGGATGCTGAGATCTTTAGAGGTCCACGGTTTCCACGCCTGAATGGCGAACTCTAGCTGTGGCCGTACGAAAGTCCGAAAGACTTTAACGAAGCAGTCCTCATCGAAGGTAGAGAAAGCTCTCTTGACAAGATAAAGGACTGACATCGCAGACTTGGCTACCTTGGAGCAGTGAAGCGACGGTTTTAGAGAAGCCGTTACCCACACCCCAAGTCTTTCTGGGCGTCTACCTCCTGCAATGGTACGCCGTTTAGGTGGTAAACCCTCCGGTTCAGAGATCGTGTCCTGCCGACTCGCAGGACATTACACTTAGTCACATTAGACGGCAACAGCCAGTCCTGTGACCACTTCTCGAGTCGGGTCAGGTCTGCCTGCAAGCGCTCTTCGTCAAATTCAGTTCGGATGACGCTCCAAAGTTTAACATCATCAGCGAACGTGGCGACATCACAATTCAGTTCGCTGACGCAGTCGTTGACGTATATAATGAATAGGGTAGGGCCAAGAACGGAGCCTTGTGGAACACCGCTTTCAACCGCTACCTCCGCCGACTGCCTGTCACCGACGTGGACGATTTGAGAGCGACCGATCAAGAAACTTTGTATCCACCTCAGGAGATTACCCCTCAGGCCTGTTCGGTTTAGTGGCAATTGAAAATGCAGATTGTGTTTCAGAATATGCAGAAATGCTGTATAGAAACCGTGACGCGCCTAGCCTATTGTTTCCTGCCGAGGGTTTCTGAGAGCATATTTTTGACCTAAAATGGCGCTTTTTGAGTTGGGCTGTTATGTGAAAAGCTGCCAGGGCGTACTGTAGGTCCTGTCAAGAGGTCTTTGTGTGGTAGTGGGGCGCTCACCGATCGTTCTTTTATGGAACCCACTCGTCCCGTTGTGTCCTGGGCTCTCATTCACGCGCCGCATGCAGCCGCACACCAGCGCATGATATAGGCAGAATGGCATTACCTACTAAGACAAGAGAGACTGGAGTGACCCTTTCTGGCTCATTGGCCATCGTCAGTCAGTCGTACCCAACCCCGAGGTATGCAACCCCTGAGGCGCGAACTCGCAGGAATTCGAAATTCCACGATCGAGCCGTTATTAAGTAGGAAACTGTTTAGCGGGCGTTTTCTTATTTTATTAGGAGTATAGTTATTGTAGGTCCTCTTTCTGGAAGAGCATTTACTTCCGCGAAGGGGTCTTATCATCAGGTAAGTCCAGAAAGTCGACCCAGGCGGTTATATGTCGAAAGGACTTTGCGAGAGGGCAAACTGAGTCGACTGCAACCTTCAAGAAATGTCGACAGTTAGTGTTTCGGACAGCCATCAGATTCGAAGAGAGGCCAGTCTGACGGTCGACAACAGAAACCACCAACAGCACTATGTTTATCCACCTTGTGAAGGATGTCTTCAGTTACAACGGCATTCACCCACCTGAATGAGCACCATAATTTTACGCGATAACAATCCTGTTCATCATTCTAAAGAAGTATAAATCCGTGGCCGCTTGCAACTACAATCACACTTTCTAGACAACAGTTGGCCTCTCCGCATGCGGCTTCCAAATTATTTCTGTTCTTACCGACAGTCCAGAGTTTAACCATAGCAAAAATCTTTCTACACTTATTCAAAGAAAGCGGCACAGGACAAAAAAGAGTTTTTTAATTCAAGAAAAGCTTGATTTTGTGGTGCTTAATAGTCACATTGGACAATTCACTTCAGGCAGCTTGGCTGTCCCCAAGTTTGATAGACTGTATGCTGTGTCGAATGCATACGGACTGTCAAGAAAGTACTAATCCTTTGTACTTGTTATTGTTCTTTCTATTAATTTCTTCTTTCCATGCGCCCTTAGGGTTGGCCTTATTTTCGGGATTTGTAGTATAGTCTTCTTTTGGAGTTCTAGTTTTCGGTGAAAACTAACTATGGTTGAAGGGTACTCACCGCTCATGTTACGGAAGTCACTCGTCGCGTTGTGCCTTGGGGCTCTCTCCCTTTTGAGCCAGCAGCCGCACAGCAGCGCATGATATAGGCAGGATGACATTACAGATAAAGACAAGGGAGACTGGAATGGCCATTTCTGGCTTACTAGCCATCGTCAGCCAGTTATACCCAACCCCGAGGTATGCAACACCCGAGGCTCGAACTCGCGACCTGTTAGTTAGAAGTCCAACGCCCTAACGGGACGAGCGAGTTCCGTAACGCGATCGGTGCGCGCCCCCCGACCATTGTTAATATACCCGATCGGAAGCAGCAGAACAACGAGCCCGTAGCTCAGTGGTTAGGTCGTTGGACTTCTGACCAACAGGTCGCGACTTCGATCCGCGGGGTTTGCATACCTCGACGTTGGTTATCACTGACTGATGATGGTTAACAAGCCAGAAATGTCCATTCCAGTCTCCCTTGTATTTGTCAGTAGTGCTATTTCGGTCTTTTGTGTCTGTGCAAGACTGCCTAGGTTCTGGGTCCACTGGGTCTGGCACAGTCTCCGTCCCTGCATGCCAAAACACGATTTACCCTCCAAGCATAACTAAATGACTATGGTGGGAATGATGTTCACCAATCAGGTTACAGAACGGCCTCGTCTCGTTTTGCCTTGGGAGCTCAGTCTTTGGCTACGAGCGTTGAATAGTTCAACGCTCTCCCCTTGAACCAAAGGTCGTTATCCTGAATAACATTTTGTGCGCACTCACAAAGATTGTCGGGAGCGCCAAATACTCTCGCCCAATTTTGTCCGCCATTCGAGGTGGTTACTGGGGTTGCTTAGTCGAGGCGCTCAGCACAACTGAGTGGAGTCACATACGTGAACTGGATATCGGATAGGGTCAAAGTAGGACTCCGGCATGATTGGTGGTCCGGCAATTGTATAACCCCCCCCCCTCCCCCCAACGATGCTGCACACATCACATAAATGTATTCGTCATTTAGGCCTAGAGAAAAGGTTTGCTTTATAATTTTAAGCCATGTTTCTCAATCTCTCTCTCTCCCTCTCTCCAAAATGCCTTCTTTCTGACACCCCCTTGCCCAGGAGAATGACAGGACCAAGTCCCAATCGGACCACCTTTCTAATCAAACACCTTGCTTGGCGACAACCTTAGAAAACATCCTAACACAACTGAACATCCTAACTCAGGTATGTTTTTTTCGCCTAATTTACATTCGATCACCTCCACGGACGTCGGTGGTACAGTAGTTCTATCCTGTTAGGAACCCGTGATCACACACTCCTCCATGAGGCGTATTCAGTACACATTGCATAAACTGCGTACTATATGTATATGAGTAGTGTGTACTTTTCTGATAATTAAGTGGCCTGAAACGCAAACACATTTGAAAGCGCAATGCCAACTGGAGTGCGTGCTGGTGAGCGGGAGTGTGGGAGACAAACCTTCCATTCCTTACTACGAATATTTCAGTTTTTCAGTCTCCTCACGTTTCGGGGACCTCCTTAACATCCTCATTCGTCATTCTTAAACCTCTAATTCAGAGGATTTCCGACACTCCATACCTCTGCCCCAGTAAGGGGAGATTTTAGAGGCTCCCTCAGAGCAACTGACAGCTTTTTGGGAATCGCCTATTCGACTGCTGACTTTGTTCTCCGCAGTCGTTATCCTCACGAGGTTGCCTTTTGAAAATTGGGACTTCCACAGAACACTGTGAGGTATACAGTAAAGACTCTGGCTGTAAACGGAATGAGGCGGATTTGAAGGCGCAGGATAGTGCCGTTCACTCGACTGTCGGACAAACCCTCAAAAATCGGTCTCCTAACGAAGAACAATCGATGATCGATTAGTGGTTTAGACTGGCTTATAGCTACCTCTCTCTCCCTTTACATAGCCCTCAGACCGTCTATAATAAGGATTTTTTACACTATGCTATTTTCCAACAATTGTATTACATAAGATTCCTATAAGTTAAACGTCCTCTTTCGATATCCTGGTGATTCATACCTACCCCTTAGCAGGGGTAGAAATGCAGTGTGTTAGATTCAAAATTCACACCTACTTTCTTCTACTCAGCTGTTGTTCTTACGCTTTGCTGGTTCATGAATCCTTTTTCCTACCCCTTACTGCTCTTAGTGTCCTGATTTGTTAAAAAACGCAATATCTGCATAGTCAGAAGCACATGAAAAGACCGGCTCCACTCTGGCCCTCTTCCCTCCAAACAAGCCAGCGATGAGGTTGGGCACAATGTCTGCCGTGACGTGAAGGGCTTCGTTTACATGTACCACGGTCCACGCAGATCAACCACAACTAAACCAGCGCCTACCGTGACCCAACGTTGCCATCCCCTTTTAATCAACAACCAATTACCATTTTTGGGGAACGGGAAGGTAGCTATAAGTCAGTCCAATCGGCAAGCCTTACTGACATAGACAGGAAAGGAGAGAGAGAGACCAGAATGGGTATTTATAGCATGTTCGACGTTGAAAGCTAGCTTAGCCCTAAACCGAGACAGGTAAGACACAAATTTTGTTCCCTGCTAGCCCTTGAGCCTACTGATTTCCCAGTTGATCCAGTGGCCCGGCGTGAGATTGAGTTATGACCGCCTGATGGGGACAGAGAAGTCAAAAATAGCCAATTAATTTTTTGGCGTTCTTTTATGTCTATCCTGCTCCATGAAGGGTCTTTCACAAAAACGTTTCCCCTCCACCTACCCCCACTGTTTGTCTGAAGACACCGGCAAACCGGAATAACAAACTAATTATGTTGGGCTTCATCTGCAACATGCGTAATTTCCAGATAGCTCATTAGGTTGCAGTTTACTTGTATCTCACCCCTTTTATTTTCCCCCTAAACAGACTGTCTCCATTCTGGAACAGCGTCTCACCATGGTGGAAGACAAGAGTGGAGGCAAGTGACCTATGCTCTATCCGGTGGTGTGTCTCTTGTTCCGCTCTCTACGGCGTCCGCTGACCGTCATGCGGTGTACCAACCCGGTCAATTGAATGAGCCCTTGTGCACATCTGCATTTTCAGTCACATTTACCCCACCACAGCTCACTATTCCAAAACTCCCTCGACACAGACCGCCTACAGGTCTTGTATATTTAGACGCATTTGGCACCTCTTTCTACCTCCAAGAAATTTACTATATACATATATATATGACAGGTGGTTATGTTGTACTCCTGACGTAGGTACTAACTAAGAGTCCATACATGTGCAGACAGTCAACTACAAGGTCGAAGTTGGCAAAGTTATAATAGCAGATGTGGGACAACAGAGAATGCGGGTAAATTGCTACAGTACGGTTTCGGCTTTTTCAGCCTTCATTCAGCCAAACATAACTGACCACCGGCTGGAACCAAAAACACGAACATGTGCTGGCGCACGACGCAGATGATCCGCAAATGGGGTCTAACAGATGCGTCATAATACCTTAATCGAGCCGTTGTTCATCAGCGTCACACCACCTGTCATTCCCTGTCGCTCCGGATCGGGTATTTATTCAATTACGAATGGGCTCATCTTGTGACAAATGGGCACTCACGTGCTCGTTCCGTTGTGCCTTGGGGCTCATACTGGAACCCTCGCAGGCAGTCGCACAGCGACGAGTAGTAGACGTGAATGAGATGGAGACTGGAGGGGTCATTTCTGGCTTATTAGCCGTCATCAGTCAGCCATGCCCAATCCCAAGTGTGGATCACTCGAGATTCGAACCCGGGATCTCTGGTAATGGAGTTTGATACTCCGCCATTGAGCCGCGGGCCCGTTGTCCTGTCGGTTGTGATCGGGAGTATCCATTATGACAGATAGGCGCTCACCGATTAGGTTGTGGAACGCGCTCGTTCCGTTGTGCCTTGGGATTCATACTAGAACCCTCGCAGGCAGTCGCACAGTGACTAGTAGAATGATGTAAGTCAGGTGATACCACCTGATTTACATCATCCTACTAGTCGCTGCACCTTTTATGTCCAAGTGCTGAAATCTGCGTGGCGACTTCAAATGCGAGAACCTATTCATCAGCTCTTATGTCCCTTGAGAGAAAATCGGCAGCGCGATCAGTCAGTGAGGTGTCTTAGGTGCCTTCAAGGCCACTTGGTGGGATCATTAAGATGTGGCCTAGTCGGAGGCAATAGAATCCGCAGTTCGATACCTGTTTTCTATAACTTTGGAGTGGCCATATGCAAGTTAGCTGCCGGAATGACTGCGGGCTGTAAATCTAGAACCATTGGAACCACGAGTTCTCATTCTTTTGAAAGCCACACCCTGGCTCTTTTTAGGCCCACGGAGAGTAGGGCGTGGACTCTTCTGTTATTATAAACTAGGTTCGCTTTGCCAACAAGGTCAGTCTTTTCGATGATGACGATTGTGCCACATCTGTTGGCGGGCACAGCAACGAGACAAAGGGGACCGGTGGTGCAGCTGCGTTTGTG